GTTCAGTCCCGATCTCCTCTCTGCCGCCACAGCGACTCAGTCTGTAATGTCCGCGGGGTCTCTGTTCTCGCGTCCTGGCCTCCAGGATTGGATGGGGCCTACCTGGCTCTGTGCGCGCTTTTCAGCTGGGAATCGTGGTGGTATGAGTCCATCCCACACTCGGTCCCAGGAGCCCTGCCACTCCCGGAGAACTTGCTACCTGGGCGCAAGGCGCGGGGGGCTGGGGGAGCCTGCTCAGCTGGCTCCGAGGGCCTGCTCGCCCCGCCCATCCCCTGGGCCTCCCTGCGCCTAGCAACTCAGTCTGCAATGTCCACGGGGTCTTGTTCTTGCGTCCTGGCCTCCGGGATTGGATCCAACAAAGTAAATTTTTGAATCATCCTTAAAGTCACACTAATTAAAATACAGATCATTCTTCCACATGTAAAAACAAATTTGAAAAAAATCACAAATATTGGACTCCTAACTTACAGTGGTTTGGGAAGGCAACATTGTGAAAAGACAGGTTAAAAGTTTAAAACAGCTGGGCATGGTGGCACACAGCTGTAATCCCAGCACTCAGGAGGCTGAGGCAGGAGAATCACCTTAAATTCAAGGCCAGCCTGGGCTACAAAGTGAGTTCAAGGCCACCCTGAACTGTATAGTGAAACTCTGTCTCAAACAAAAAAAGTTTGAAATGCTATAGGGGGAAAGAAGCAGCTTGCCTTCTTCCTTCCATTGATTACTTCTGACATTCAGAATCACTGGGTTGTACAAGGAAGGGTAAGAGGGAGGAAGAAAAGAAAGAAGGAGGAAGGGAGGGACCACCTGTTCCCGTATTTTCTGTAAGTATTTATACTCTCCTCCCACAGTCACACAGTACACACTGTATTCCAGAATATGCACCATAAAGTTTCCATTTATAAAATAAAAATATGAGGATGAATAGACTGGGGGACCTTGAGGCTGTCTGCTTCATTGAGAGCATCAATCTTTCCTTTCTTTCTGACCTGCACTATGATAAGGAGTGGATGTTAAAAAGTACATTCATTCAGGCACAAAGCAATCCACCACCCAGAGAGCACACTAATTTCACAGTCACTTCTGGAACGCCTTCCGGGATGACGTCATGAGTGGCAAATCACTCAAATTATCTGGGAAACTAAAGATTTCATAGATTAACCTCACTGCCAAGAAATACACCAACATTAATACCAACAATGGAGTCAAGGGAAAAATTCATCTTGATTCCAAGCATAAATTCCAAAAGACTAAAAAAAAAAAAAAAAGGCTCATTGAATGTGCAGCTTGCAAAATTTCCCCAAAAGTACTAATGCCACAACCTGCCATTCTGGGGATCACTGGCGTGGAGGAAGCAGAAGGCTTCAGAGAATTCGGAAGAATGTGTTTGAATTGTGAAGACCCAACTCACTCTGTCTAAAATGTTAAATGGCAGATGTAAAATGGCTCTGAAAATAGAAGTGCAAATATCAAAGATGACACGTAGAACACAGTGAGTACTACTAGTGCTGTATTAGTCAACCCATAAAAGCAAAGAGAAAACAATTAGTTGTCTTCTACTCTGAAAGACTACTACAAAGCGCACACATTTAAAAAATGAGTGTGTGCATTAACATGTAGGTTTGCCTGCATGTGAAACCAAGGATAACATTTCAGTCATTTTTAATGGTAGGTCTACAAGCTCATTAGTCAAGAAGGAAGGGTAAATTCTTATTTCTACACCATGCTGGACTGCAGGCAGAAAACAGACAAAGACCAACAATATTTTTGCATGTTTTCTACCTTCTTATCCTTAAAAAGATAAAACAGGACCGTTTACTGAGATGGCTAAACATAATCAAGATTACAACGTTATTTTAGGAGCAGATAGAGAAGTAGAAGGTAAAAGAAACATTTTCCTGTGACTTGGTAAAGCCTCACTGATCTTTTGCCTGGTGAACCCTGTTTTTTGTGTTGTAGCTTCTATAACTCACCTCGTATCTGGGAATCAAAGTCTTCTAGCTTGACTTTAGCATCAGAGCCGCTCACAGTGGTTTATCCTCAGATGGCCGCAGCTCCTCTCTGTCAGACACTGTCTGTTGGCCGTGCTGGAACTATGTGGGTAAATTGCAGGGGTGGCTCCTTAAACTCCTTCTTTTGCTAAACAGCAAGAGGCAGAACCTTGAAGAGAAATGTTATAGTCACAAAATATTTCTCTACAGAACCTCATCGAGGGTCTCGGGAGGACTGCCTACAGCCCAGGAGAAAAATCCTCCATTACATCTCACTTTTTTTGGTAGCAGGAATCAAACTCAGGACCTTGAGCCTGCCCGGTGAGTGCTGTGCTGCTGACTTATATCCCTGGCCCCCACTATATCTTTCAAAGAGAAAGTTCACACAGAAAGGTGTCTCTGCTTTTTATGTCCTTGGCTCTGTCTTATGCAATCTCACAAAAGTAACCATTAAACGCCTCAGCAATCAGTAAAGCTCATCATTCCCACTTTACCCAGAGTTTGGAGTAAGAATTCTCTCAAAATTTTATGTTGTTAGAAGACAGTCTTTTGTATCTTACAGGCCTAAATAAAATGTGATTGTTGACTGTGATGATGCTACAGAATACTAAGGTTAGGGTCCATCAAGATTATTTTTGTATGTTCAGCAATCTATCTTTTTACTTTCTACACACACATCTCACTGTATGTTCTTTAACCTCATAGATTTATAGGCAGGTGGAAGATAAACGTTCAGCTACAAAACTCCTTAGTCACGTTTTCCCTGCCCTTACTCTGTGGACTGTGCCAAGCAGGCAGGCAGGCAGGCAAGAAGCCCGGTTAGGGCATCCTCTGCTGCCCTGCAGTTCTTTCCACCCACTCACGTCCTCCCCCCACAGGCCTCTAGCCTCATCTGTCTTTACAACTTCTTGAAAATGGCCACTTGGAAAGATAAAGAAGAACACAGGACCACTGGGTAAGATTAAGGTTCCCTCTCCTGTCTCCCCAACTAAGAAGCAGCAGAAAGGAAATAGAAAAGGTGAATCTTACCTCCCACACCTAAGGAATTTTCCTTCCTCCCCACCAAATCATATGTTTTGTGTGTGCACCCGAATAGCCCATCAGACCTGGGACCAAGGTGCATTTTCCCGCTTTCTTCTTTTCTCCCCCTACAGTCTGCGAACGCGTCCTTCAGAATTCAGCTCAAAGCCCCAGTTCCTAACTCCTTCATGGAACTCAGCTAGAAAAGCAGCTGCTCGCCGCACCTTGTCCCCTTGGTCCTTTCCACTCCTGTCAGGCTGTCCTGGTCTTACAGTTAGTTACCTGTGCTTGCTCCTCTTCTCTCCCCTACCAGGTACACACACTTTGGGAAGCAGGGGCCAGCATCTGGATCGCTGCACACAGAGTACGTGTGAGACTTCAAAGTGAAATTTACAAGGTTGCCATTTATACTTGCTCTGTAAGGAACTAATCAGTTACTGTCCATTTTGCTTTTAAAACCACAAATGTATTTTCACACTGTGTATGCAATGTCAAGGACTAGCAGTTGTGGCTTGTTCTGAAACTATAATGAATGTTCCTGTGGATATGCTGTACAATTTTCAAAAAGATAACCATCAAGATAAAGTGTAGTACTCTCTATAGCCTATCAGGGGACTGAGCACTCTGGGTTAAAAATTAGCACCGAACTATTACCACATGGGTGGGGGTAACCAATCATCTCCCATAGTCACTCAAGTCAGAAACAGCAGGAATAGATGTCTTAATTTGGTTTCAAAACATCGATTAGGACAGAGTTTTATATGCTCATACGTGCATTCTATAATTCCCGGTGACTAATGTAGTGAGTTTTATCTGGAAACCCGAGAGTTCACCAAGTGGCACGTCAACCTTACTTTAACTAAGAAACTGCACAGAGTCCTATTTTACTTTAAATACAAACAGCATGCAGGGCAGAAGTCCAAAGGTGATGTGTTATCAAGTTTGAGTCTGATGACTCCTTGTGACAATTTTTAAAGCTCTACTTAAAAGCACTTAGAGAAGGGAAGAGGTTGTTTCTTTTCAAAAGTATAACCAAGATGGATGCCTTCTTTTTATTTTTAACAGTTTTTTGGTTTTTATCAACACATACTGACAAAAAAAATCATGCTCTAGTTTCAGGATACCCTCAGCAGAACAAAAAAGCTTCCAACACCTTCCTTCTAAGATACTAATAAGGGAAAGATGTAAAGGCTGGAAATATTGATTTGAGCAAATTCTCCCACACCAACCAACACTCAGGTAGGAGTTTCTGGAAAATCTCATTCAGTGATCTGGCAGTGGTTCCTCATTCAGGAAGGAATGCCTCATTCAGGAAGCAAGTGATCCATTATCTTTGCCACAGAATTCTTAAGCCCTGTGACTTATCCTCCCACAGCCCAAATTTTGCCTACTATACACGGCGCTCTTGTCTAGTACGTTCTCTACACCTTCCTCTCATTTCTTATTTAAGCCCATGAGAGACCATGATGTAGTCTATCAAAAGCAAGACTGCACCACAGAGCTACTAAGTAAATACATGTGTAGCGGGAGGGGTCTGTAGACAAGAAAATAGAAAAGGGGCCTTATTAGGTCTTCTAGCTAATACTTACTAGAAGGAGTCAAAAACAAACTTTACTAGAGAGATTCCCCTGGGAAACAAGTCAAGGATGGGGCAGAGAAAGAGAAAAAAAAAAAAAAAAAAACAAATAAAGAAAAGCACCACATACATAGCTTTGGGACTTGTGCCCATGGACTTTGTCCCTCTAATTTTTCACTGGGGCAGAGTTTAGGATCCCAGTGGGCTATTCAAACAACAGAGCAGCAGTGCTCATTCCCCAGATGCAACACCTCTGGATCCCTGACCAGGAGCCAGACGTGATGTATGTATTGCCAAATGGAGACGTGATGAAACAAGCTCCATCACTCTGTAAAATAATAAAGGAAAGTTTTGTAAAAATAGTAAAGCCAATAATGGCAATCAGAATAACCAGAAGACTAATTACACAAAGTCAATAGTCTATATCAAAGTCTATTTCACAAGAAAAAATAAGAAATGAGATACTTTGGACTGTATTCTATAATTACGTGGCCCATGGTTTTATTTCAATACATTATTTCTATGAACGACTGGTTTCAATTTAGGGATAAACATCCTATACCTGTATTGCTTTTTCAAAAACTCTAGCCCAAAACATACTTCAAGACCTTTCTTTGCTATCTTGTTTACTTTACAACCATTATGTAAGATCACTGTTTTGCTTTTTTCACTGACAGTAGTGTTTTGATAAGGTATTTATTGTTATTATTCTTCCCTGTGATAATCCAAGTACACCGAGGGATTCTACACTGTATCTCAACCCTAGAGAATACATTTTAGTACTACAACCCAATACATTTTATGGAAACAGGTTGTGCTGGGGTAACTTCCTGAAGATGAAAAATATACACCCCAGTCACTGTTACCTGACATCTAAAACACCTTTCTTGAAATAGATCTGATTTCATTAATGCTAGTATTTATTATAGAAATTAAAATTCATCAACTGAAGTAGCATATCAGTTTCCATATCAATCACTGTTTCCAGAAACTGTGATTGATTGATATACTTAAAAGTAAATAAATTATGTAGTTATTATATAAAAACTGTCAAACCCAGAGACTAAAGTAGAACATAGAAATATAAAAAACAACCAACAAAAACAAAGCTTCTATCTTTAGGCCACTGAGACATTAGCCATACGTAACAAGAAAAGGCCTGTGAGAAGTCTTTTAAGTTATAAAAACAAAAAATGTGTTATGGATATTCACGGCATGGGAATACAAATTCTAGCTTGGAGTCTACGTGCTGAGAGCAAAGCACGTTAGAGGAAGTTGTTCAAAAGTGGAGGTATTTGAAAGATGAGTAGTCAGGCAGGAAATGGTCCCGCAGGGATGAATAAAGGACATTTCAAACAGTGAGGAAAGTGTAGGAAAATTAAGTGATGGGAGCATGTAGTCTGTAGTTCTAGTACTCAGAGCTTAAGGTTCACAAAAGGAAAGTTGGGGAGGGGCCCCAGACAGGAAGTTTGGAACAGTGTAGGTCTTCATGATGGTGAATGATGCATTTCACCGTGAGCTGTAAATAAGAGGAGCAAAGTCCAGAATACGGGGTCACATGGGCATGCTTCACAAGGCAGATCCAGCAGAAGAACATATCCAGAGAGAGAGCCTCACCTGTGGCCCTAAGGGACATGGTAGCTACTGGGAGAGTAGGCATCAGGACAGGCAGGCAAGTAACTGATAAATAACACACATCTGAGGGGGCAGACTGAGTCCATATAGCCTTGAGGATTTGCGGGGAGGGTGGTACTGGGCATTAAGCCCAGAGCCTTCACACTGAGCTACATCCCTGACCTTACCTTTATTTATTTATTTTTTTTTATGTTTTAAAAAAATTGTTTTTGGTTTGCCAGTGTCTTGCTAAGTTTAAAAGTTGCTCAGGGATGGCTTGAACTCACCATCCTTTTGCCTTAGCTTCCCAGAGTTCTTAGAATAGATTTTTTGTCTTCTCAAAATAATCAGTGGGAAACAAAGATTTTCTTTTCTGTTTGAAGCATTGATCTAGGTATATTAAGAACCAGTCATCCCTCAGTGTCCGCGGGGGACTGGTTCCAGGACTCCCTTCAGATACTATAATCCAAAGATGCTCAAGTCTTTCTACAGAATGTCACAGCATCTGCATACAATCTGTACCACTTCCTCTATCCTTATTTCAAATGGTATGAACTTCTCTGATGGCGGGGGAAGTATTTCTACAAATTCAAAAAGCCACACATAGGAAGGACCTGGCACTTATTAAATAGTCAAAGGATTGTTTCTTTTCCAACTGTTCTCATTAATCTTAACAAAAAATCAGATGACTGATCAGAAAGGTAAAAATTTTGATTGTACATTACTTAAGTCTACAATTTCACTGTTTCCTAGGAAGTTCTATTTCTCAGCTGAATGGAACTGTACACAGATACAAGAAACCGAGCAACTCTACAGCACTGTAGATTTGCTTAGAACATATCCTCATCTTCTGAACGCAGTATATTCTAGAGCACGTCAGCAACCTTTTCCTGTAAAGATCCAGATCAGTAAATATCTTTCGTTATGTGGGTACAACTACTGAATTTTGTCACTGTAGCAAAAAAAGCTGCCATAGATTCAGATAGAAATGAGTGAGCATAGCTGAGTTTCGGTAACAATTTACTGATAAAAGATACTTGAGCTATACTATACCTGACCATTTAAAATCGAACAACTGCTTATTGTTTTATAACAATATCAGCTGTTAAACCTTGATGCTGCAATTAAAACATGAATTGTAGTTACAACTCACTACAAATTCAACAGCTGTATTTGGAATTAAATCATTTTAACAAATAAATTTATTTTATAAAAATAGGTAGTTGAACTGTAGCATGTGGATCCTGCCTCCAAAGAGCTCAGCATTGTAACTTGGGGGTGGTTTCATTGCTCTTCACAGCTTAATGTGCATAACTCTGACCAAGTGAGAAAATATTTTTCTGAAAAAATTGGGTGCAAAGAAATTTTCTTTGCCAGTGGAATGAAAAAAGGGCGAACAAAGTGAAGAGGGTCTAAGGAAGTGACGGACTCAAGGAGATGAGAGAAATTTTGAGTAACTTGAAAAGAGAATTAGAATCTGGTGATATCCCAGACCACTAGAAAGACGGTTTAACGTGTTTTCTACCAGGAAATATGAATATGTGACTATGAAACCAATTCAAACAGTGCTCCAATACATGCCAAGTATACTCATTAATTGAAAGAAAAGCAGTGAAAGCTTAACATACTGCATTAAAATGTATTTAAGAAATTCATAAATCTTAACTGAGTATCTGTGTGAGACAACGCCAGGGAATTTGGAAATTTACGGAAGTCTCAGATTATATTTCCTTCATAAATTCTAATGATCACTAAAAAGTAAAGCATGTGATCACCACAGCTTACTGATGTATATGTAAAGCTATAAAAGATACGATAAAACTATTTATACATCTGCTTAATGATGCTTCTGCTAATTTACCATTGCAAGTGGCTCACTAGCTCTGTGACCTTGTGCAAGTTACTTCACCTGTCTGTACCTCGGGTTCCTCATCTGTAAAATGTGTCTCTTCCATGCAGCTGTTTGAGAATTAAGTAAATGAATGTGTGTAAAGAGAGTCCAGGCATACAGGACTGAAGTGTTACAATATTGTGGTCCCCCCCAATCTCCTCTTGTCAAGTCAGATTTATTGGCTCTTCCTCCTTTGCCCTTTTCTTCTCCGGGTAGGTTCCCCTTGGACGTCTTGCTTCACTTGGAAAGTTTCAACCTAGTATTTGCTAGAGAGAGACTGTTACATCTCTCTCCACCCTGCTAACCTCTTTCCCAGACTGTACTGGCCAACTGCCTACTGGCCATTTCCATTACAATCTATCACAGGGACCTAAAACTCAATGAGTTTGAAAAAACCAAGCCCATTATTTTCTACCTTGTCCCTTCCTTCTCCTTGCATTCCTTAGTTAATGGCCTCATTATCTATCTGTAGCTAGAAACTTCAGCTTGAAACTAGTTACTTTTTCATTACCTTTTCATTTCTCTGCTCCCATTCTGTCCTACAAGACATCTTTCATTGTCATCAGAGTCACCTTTCTTAAAGCATATATTTAATTGGGTTATCCTCTTGTTCAGTTATACTCTATTGCTTCAGGGAAGGACCTATGGACCTAAAGTCTTGAGAGCTTCGGAGACACCGGGAACTCTCTGCTTGGATCCAAAGATTTACCTGCTGTGGTTTGAATGTCTTTCCCAAAACTCATGTTGAAATTGAATTGCCACTGTGATGGTCTCTGGAGGTGGAACCTATATGAAGTATCTTTGTCAGGAGGGCATGAATGGACTGATGCTGTCACTGCAGGTGTAGTCTGTGCCCCTCGACCCCCTCTTTCAGCCCCATGATGCCTTCTGCCATCTTATGGAGCAAGAAGGCTGTTGCCTGACACTGGCACCTGGACCGGGGACTTTCCAGCCTGGAGAACTATGGCCAAGAAATTTCCGTTTATTATAAATTACCCAGTCTGCAGAATTCTACTAGGGTACCACAAAGAAGACTGACACTATTCTAGAGGAAAATTCTTAAACTTCCCAGCAGGGTCATTTTAAATTGCATCCTGGTTACACTTCTATATCTGAAACACAGGCCTCTTTTGGATATAGTGCCCATCACAT